GCATTCATCAGAGTATGAATGTGTGTAAATGGGAGATTGAAAGCACTTAGGTGTAGAGAAATATTTGTACATATTTTTTGTATGAATGAGGCTCTCCGAGGGCTCCCATAGAGTAGAAAAGCATTTTATAACAAAACAGCCCATTTACCACTTTCATTTCTATATTTCGACTAAGAGAACAGTGACATTCACTATCAAAATGTTTGCTGGGCGTGTTTGTTGAGTAATGTAGCATCCATCTTTACCCAATGTCCGACTGGGCCGAGCTCCATCAAAACACATGAAAACAATCGTGTGGTTGGGCGAAAGTGCCAAATTTGAATTTTCACGTGTAGGGAAAAAATATCAAAACACACTGGGAGACGCTCTTTTTCTCTATGATGTTGCCACAGTTAATTTTTATGGGTGAAATATTTATGGTAAATCACAGCATATTTTTATATATTTATTTTGTGAGTGAGTTTGTGGTTGGTACAAAGCAAACAGTTACAACGATCCTGCATAGTGACTTTCTATGTATTTAACAGCTTAAAGATCGATGAGGATTGTTGGTATGGTGTCTGTCAGTTCTCCTGAACTCTGGGATTTTTAGTCTCTTTCAGCACATTGTTTTGGTTTCCCAAATGGCAACTTTGCTCTTTCAGTTCAACCTCACTGCTTTCTGCATTGATTCCAGATGCTGCTTTTAGCCATTGATGGACAAAAAACTCACCGCAAAGCACGAGTACTTACTGAAGACTAAATGATAGACACACAAAGACGTGAAGAGTAGACCAAAGATTAAAAAAAAAAAAAAAAGAATATTGGACTTTGTTGGTCAGGTGGAGCTTAAAATATAAACTGATGTTGCCTGCATAACCTGCACAATTTATCACAACCAATGTATTGCAATAATGCACATTAAGGGCTCATCTTCTAGTCAAAGTAATTTTTTTTTAAAGCCCAAAAAACAAAATGGTAATACATGCAGTTAAACTATATTTACATCATTACACTCTGTAGTCAGTCTGTAGTCTGCTGTATATAATATAACAATATCCAGACTAAAATCCACCTTCTCTATAACATAGTAACCCTCCTGAGAAGACTGCAACAGCACTGTTCTCAGGGGTGTCTGGCTTCACACGTGATTTTATACAAAAGGCAGCAGCTTTTTAGAGTTATTCATATCACCATCAAAAAAACAAGCTAAAAATAAATGTTGTGCTTTTTATGCCACGACTGATCACAAACTGCTTTCCTGCCAGGAAAATCACAATTCGTGACCCGAGACTCTACCGGCTGCTTCAATAGACATTATTCTGCTTCCACAGAACCCGCTGCTTTGTAGCAGCAAATCAAACAGTGGGTAGTGCATATGAGCACAGTCGTTCATGTTACTTGCTGTCTGCTTAATGTTTGTGCTGTAAAAGACCGAGATGAGTTCAGCGAGAATCTTTAGGTATACATTTCTATTGCGACTGTCTGCTGTGTGTTGAAAAGACAGCGGGATACTTTGAGGAGAAAGTTGATTAACTGAACTGATTAATTTGCTACAAGAAAGATAGCAGCTGTATCTGTCAGCGCTTTTTTTTCCTGCAGAAAAGAAATCTGAAACAATTGATCCATGAGCTGTTCTGACCAAACAGGATGGATGTAAAAATAAATCACATAATTCTAATTTATTTAGTGCCGTCGTTATTCTAGTCACTAACTTT